CCCAAGTCTAGCACAGAAGCTGGAAGTGTTTTACAACTGTTCTTTAATTAAGCAGGAAGTCCTTGAAATTATGATAGGTATAAGGTATAAATTATTATAGGTATAAATCTTTACCTGGTAAAGATTTTTTTTCATATGCATACATACTAATTTGTTATTTTCCTGTTTCTCTCACTGTGATGGTTTTAGGGAAGGATCAGTCCTGCAAAATATAAACTTAACTGGAAAGTGATTTTGTAACTCTGGCATCACTGATCTGATTTTTTGATGCACAGTACTTAAGTAATAAAATATTGAATCTGTTCTGATATTTTGAAGTTGTTGGAGTGGCATAGATATCTAATTCTGTTTACTGATACTCAAAATGTATTTGAAGATGCTAATTATATATTCCCATACAAGGGTCTGCTCAAGAAACACTACCAGGAAAAGAGCTTGTACCAGTTATACCTCAAGATCTGCTTCCTCCTATTCCTATGACAGCACCACCAATTGAACGAGGATCAGATGAACAGATTTATGTAGATGAACCACTTCCCAAGGTACTTTAATTCATTATTAAAAGTCTAAGATATCAAAGTACATATTTATCTCAATATCTTACACATATTCTACCTAAATGTTATGTCTCATTACACATTCTTTTCTTCAATATTTCTCTGAAAGATGCAATAGTACAGTATTATAAATATCTAAAAATACAAGTAACAATTGCTACTAAAACATGCAACCTAAGGAAACATGCTTTAAAATTTTGATCATTTTTTTTCCTAAATTCTTCATAATGATGATCAAAAGTAGCTCATGAATGGCCAAATAATAATACTTTTTAATATTGTGAAATACTAGCATAGACTTACTAGATCAGTATCCTTTCTCTGGCAAGGGCTAGTCATTTCTCATAGAAAGAATGTAAGAACAGGAAGCGTGTGCACTGATCTTTTTCCTAGGATACCTTTTTCTAACATCTTTTCCCTGAGGACTGAACATGAGCCAGAATAGTGCCCAGGTGGCCAAGAAGGCCAATGTCATCCTGATCTGTATCAGAAATGGTGTGACCAGCAGGAGCAGGGAGGTGATCGTGCCCCTGCACTCGGCACTGGTGAGACTGCATCTCAAGTCCTGTGTCCAGTTTTGGGCACCACAGGCTAAGGAGGACATGGAGGTGCTGGAGTGGGTCCAGAGAAAGACAATAAGTCTTGTGAGAGGGCTGGAAAACATGCCTTGTGAGGATTGGCTGAGGGAACTGGGGTTGTTTAGTCTAGAGAAGAGGAGACTGAGAGGAGACCTTATTGCTCCCTACAACTACCTAAAAGGAGGTTGTAGTGAGGCAGGTGCTGGTCCCTTCTCCCATATTACTGATGATAGGACAAGGGGAAATGGCCTCAAGTTGCTCCAGGGGAGGTTTCAATTGGATATTAGGAAGAATTTCTTCACTGAGAGCATGGTTAGACACTGGAATGGGCTGCCCAGGAAGGTGGTGGAGATGTTCAGAAAATGAGTAGATGTGGCACTTGAGGCTGTGGTCTAGTGGTTAGGGGAAATGTTAGGAGGAAGGTTGGACTGGGTGATCCTAGAAGTCCTTTCCAACCGTAGTGATTCTGTGATTCTTCCTAGTTTCCAATATTCTGAAATATAGGGGTTTCCTGAGTTAACTTTGTATCTGCAAGTTTGCAGTTAGTAGCTCTCAATAGACTTTTGTTCCATGATTATATCTAGTTGCTTTTTTTGGAAGCAATTTATTTTTTGTTCTCCATGATATAGCTGAAAAAATATTTCTGTCTCTTTGCTTTAAACCTGTTTGCTTGAGTCACTTGATAAACCCTACTTCTTGTATTGTGAGATACAATGAATAATAATTACATAATCACCTTCTGAAGGCATTTAATATGTGACAGACATCTATTAGATCTTCGCTTTGTTCAGTGTTGCATTGCTTCTCGAGTCCAGTCATAAACTGTTTGCCCCTCCTCATGTGGAGCAGTTTATATGTTTAATCATGATTCTTGCCCTTCTGTCTGTTCCAGTTCTACTGTATATTTTTTGAGATGGGGAGCTGGGACTACATGAAGTATGTCAGATGTAGATTTGAAGGGTACCTCATGATCCTTTGCATTTTGTTCTGTAATTGCTTTCTTAATATTTCCCAGTTTTGAATTCACAACTGCAATGAGCTCGCATATGGTAGGTTTCCTCTGGCCATAGGCTTCATTTTGTGTTTCATGACAGCCGGTCAGTCAGATGTCACTTTTGTGACACTAGACAGTCCACTTTTATTCTTACCAGCTCGAACAGTTGTGTACCACCAAGTTTTCATACTTACGTATTTTCTTAGTATCTTCACTTAATGTATAAGTATATACGAAACCACAGATACTGGAGTATTCTGCTGGAATTTCTCATTCATTTTGAGTATTGTCACTTTCTTCCCAAAGAAATGCACAAGATAAATGATAGAGTGGTACAGTGCCTACAATCAGTTGTAAATAGTTGTAAATCAAAAGAAATACATACTGAAAACAAGTAATAAAATTTCATGAAATATTTGTTCTTACATTTGCTAATGCTACAGCTAAATGAGTTACCAAGAAATATATCGATTAATTTTTATGTTTTTAAAAAATTCACAGGAGATACCTGATTTTTTAGTACCTTACTGGGAAATGGTAGAAAATACATATATGAATACCATCAAAACTATACTTAGACATCTAAGGGATGAAGAACACTCTGTGATTTCTTACATAGCAGACATTAGGTGAGTAGAAGTAGTAGTTGAATACATTAATATTAGTATTTCTGTATTTTCCCTGGAGCACTCTATATGTCTTTTAACATCAAAATTATTTTTACTGTAATTTACAGAAAAAAATTCCAAGATTATTTGAAGACTCCAGATCATAAACAGGAGTTTGTATCTCAGTGGCAATCAGAGTTTAATTCAGTTGCTGATGACCTGCGAGAAGATGAGGAAACAAAAGCAGAACTACACCAAAGAGTTACTGTAAGTAAATTGCAATGGTTATAGTATACCCTGAAGTTTATTATTCATTGTTCATTGTATACAAATTCAGTGTAACATGGGTGATATTATTATATAAATTTTTCTCCCTTTTAACCACTCTTCTTAAACTATTTCAATTCTTCTTGTACTTAAAATGTTCTTCACAATTATTCCTCTGTTTTTTTGACTGTATCTATCTTCTATCTTTCTCCTTTTTTTTAGGCTGTACTGTGGTATACTGACACACTGTAAAATAAATTTTTCTCTGCTCTATTTTTCTTTATGTTTTATGCCTTTCAGAGATTTTACAGGTTTGGACATTTCTATCACAACATATCTTAGCAGTCATTTAGCTGTTCCATAAATTACATATGGTAAAATATATATTTTTTTTGTACTGATTCATACAAAGTGCAGAGAATTTATTTTAAATATTTTGATTCAATAGATCTTGGATAAGTTGTACATATCCTGAGAGTTATTCTTCACAAAAATCCTTGAGAATAAAGGTCCTAACAAGGTCAGAACCAGATTTAACATAGGCAGAAAGTAGAGTTGTTGTTGAATTTATCTGATTCCCATTTCAGAACAGACGTGATTTTTAGTTGAAGTCGTATCAGGAAATACTCTCAGAAAAGAGGAATAAAAGTGCTGGCAACATGGCTAGCTGAAGAAAACACTAGAGGAATCATGGATGAATTCACTGAGATGGAAAAAGCGTTGGATCTCCTGAACTATAGCGTTATTTCAATAGAATGAAGTAGAGGTTTTAAAACTCATCTTCCATTTTCCTAATTTCTACTAAATGGAATTATAAAAAGACTGGAATGCATCTGTCCTATATTTTAGAAAGCTAAATTGTAAAATATTTGGCCTTGCACTCATAACAGAAATCCACGTTTGACATTAGTAATTTTAAATTAGGTTATGAGGAGATGATAGTTGAGTGTGGTGCAGTGAAACTCAGATACCGTGGTAAGGCTAAGCACAGTAAATAAGGCAGTTTGGAGTAAATACATGATTTCCAGAATTAGCCCTTGTGGATCCCAAACCTGTGAGTGAATGTGATGATCATGCTTCTTCTATGCTTTTAAGTCCTGACCATTGTACCTCCCTGAATGTGAAAATTCTGTCATCCATCCTTCCTTGATGCTAGAAAAGGAGAGAGAAGAAATGAAAGAAATAATCTGTGAAATGGTTTTCCTCCTACATTTTCAGCTTTCCCAGACTGCTCAACTCCATCATCTCAGCTGGACCCTTTCTGAAACACTATCCATGCTGGAAGCTGACAACTGTGCAACCTGAAAACCAGATTTTTCTGATATCAACAGGATAATGTAAAAATTCACCAGATTTTGTGATGTGTGAAAAACTCCTTAAAGCTCAAGGGGCAGCCCAGGCTTTGACATCCTAAAGACTCAGAATCAGTGTGAATAAAATACACTTGAGCAGCTCTTCTCTATTACACTGTCTTTCAGCAGCTTCTTCATCTTGCCTGTTACTCCATTGCTGTCACTGAACATGATCAGTCACTCAGTCTCACTACTTTTATTCCAGATAGGAGAAGACTTAGCATGTGCATCCATTTTTTTTCTTTTTTTTTTTCACCCACCTAAGCAGAAGGAAAAAAGGAGAAGCTGCTTTACTTTAAAAAGAGGAGGAACAATGTGAGAGGAAAAATAAGAAACACACAAAATGTACTTTTAGCTTTTTCTAGCCAAAGATACCTCACTGCAGTAAATCAAAACTGGGACCTGAATAAAATGAGGACAAAGAAGAAATTGCTTCTCCACCCATGTCTCAGTAAGGTGCTGGGAAGACCTGTACATCAGTTTGTACAAAATGTCAGTTTGTTTAGTGTCTTCTTGTGTGGGTTTATGCAGCAAGGTTTTGGTAGCAGAGGGTCTCCAGAGGTGTCTTCTGTGAAAAGGCATCAACACTGCCTTCGTGTTGAACAGAGTCACTGTCAGCCACCTCCAAAATGGACCTGCTACTGGCCAAAGCAGAGCTAATCCTCAACAGTGGTGGTGCCTCTGTGATAGCATGTTATAGAAAGGATAAAAAATGCTACATGGCATCTATGAGAGAGGAGTGAGAAAATGTAAGACAAATACCTATACAGTCACCAAGGTCAGTGAAGAAGGAGAAGGCCCTGGTTCCAGGCACCACAGCAGAGATTCCCCTGCAGCCTGGGGAGAAGACCATGGTGACATGAGTTGTTAATGCTGCAGCCCACAGTGAAGCAAATATCCACCCTGCAGCCCATGGAGGGCACACTGGAGCAGGTGGGGATGCCCTGAAGGCAGTGGCAGTCTGTGGAAAGCCAACACCAGTGCAGGCTCCTGAGAGAGGAGCTCATGCAGGAGCAGGTGTTCTGGCAGGACCGCTGGCCCATAGGGAACTCAGCACTGGAGCAGTACAATCACAAAGGACTGCATATTTAGAAAGGACCTGTGCTGGAGCAGTTCTTGAAGAGCTGCAGCCTATGGGAAGGACCCACATTGGGGAAGTTCATGAAGGACTGTATCTCGTGAGTGGGACCTCACTCTGGAGCAGAGGAAGACCTTGAGGAAGAAAGAACAGCAGAGACAATGCATAAGAAACTCACCACAACCTCTCATTCACCATCCTCCCTGCTCCACTTGAGGGGCAGAAGCTAGAAAAGGCAGGAGTAAAGTTGAGCCTGAAAGAAAGAAGGGATGGGGAGAAGTGTTTTTTGTTTTATTCTATTTTTCACTATTCTGCTCTGTTATTAATTGGCAATAAATTAAATTAATTTCCTTGAGTCATGTCTGTTTTGCACATGACAGTAATGGGTGAGCGATTCCCCTATCACTATCTTGACTCACAATCTTTTCCATCATATTTTCTCACCCTATTCTATGAGGAGGGGGAGTTATAGAGCAGCTTGGTGGACACCTGGCAGACAGCCAAAGTCAACCTACCACTGCAAAGCAAATTAATTGTATACTTATGTCTTTTTTTACTCAGTAATGTATCCTCACGTGCATAACCTACAATATGGACAACGGTGAATGTCTGGTAGCCTTTACCTTGACTACCTCCCATCTATGCTGTGACTGATGTGTTAGGTAGGGCAGGCACTACTCCCTTGTCAGCTTCCCTGTCACTTTTGTCCAATACAGCACAACAGGACTTATCTGAAGTCTGTGGACAGGGATGAGAGAAACAGGATCTGACATGTTAAGCTGAGACCAAGACGTAATGAATATGGAAACACCTATCAGCTCAAGCCTAAGCTCCTCATTGCAGGGCTAGTAGGGTAGAACACTTTTTCTCTTTATCCCAAAACGGGTCAGGTGGAGTGAACTGCTTGGAACTTGGCAGACAGCTCATCTTAGCCTACCTTAGCTATCCATTCAGCAGCACTCTTCCTGTCACCTCCTACTACCTGGAGGTCTGTCACTATTTCTGTGCGCAGCTGGCAATGGGGAAAATAGGGTTTACATGCATAGTGTGTGCTTAGTAGGTCTTCAGTGGTGTCAGTGAACCACATAGTGCTGCTATTAGATATAGTCACTGGTTGAAGAGCCCTTAGTTACAAAGAACATTAAAGAAAAATGGTGTGCAGCTATCCAAATTGAAAGAATACTTGAACTATGACATAATTTTCTCAGAATTTTTCATATTGCACATCCCATTAGAGTACTCTTAAGTGTACTAGGTAGCAAACCATTCAAGTGGAAATGTGCTGATGCATTTGAGAGCTTAGCTATTCACATCCTGATGTCTTTATCTAACTTAGGTCTTCTCTGCCTGAGGAAAGCAAGGCAGCCTACACATTTATCTTACACTTTTGTATTCTTTTCTGTGGCACATCTATAAAGCTACTTTCTGTCAGCTCTCTGCAAGCACACGACTTGTTGATCGGGCCTTAATAGTTGTAACAGTAAAGAAAAAGCCCCAAAAGTATTTCATTTTTCTTTCATAGCTATTTCTCCATATTTGGTTTTGTGTTTCAGGACCTAAGAGATCATCTCTGGGATATCTGTGATAACAGAAGGAAAGAAGCAGAGCAAGAACGTAGTGATATCGTGAATGATGGCTGGGTACAAGATCACAGGGGGATTGCAATGAACCATTTCTTTTCACTTATGCAGGTAGGAATCCATTATGGAGTCTGAAATGGAAGGGGGCAATGAATCAGATTTGGAGGGCAGTAAGCCCCAGAGGATTTTTGTATGTTTGGCTCCAAATAAGTGAGGGGTTGAGAATTATACAAGCAAGTGTTCATACCTCTTATGAATTTATCTAGAATGTTAAAATTTAAGTTGAAATTTTACCTACAGGCTGGAAATTATAATGGCAAGGAATGTTCTTAAGAATGTGATGTCATTTGTGCTCTTGAGAAAATCCATTCAAATATGGCTCAGTCTTCACACACCTAACTTTCACATTTTCAAGAGATACTGTTCAATTAGTTGAGTCTTCTCTCCCCCACATTAAGCTTTTCCTCTCATTCAGTCTGTTCTTGAAGTAAAGTAAGATTTCCCTGTGACTTCTGTTCTAGCTTCATAAATTTGGTTTAGGACTGCACTGGACTGGACTAGACTAGACTAGACCAGCTTTTCTGTAAACTGAGTGACCATTCTGTGAAAATTTTGGCAACTTTAAAGAAGACAATGAAAACAATGCTTTAAAAAAGTGCCATGTGATGCTAACTTGGCTGTAAAATCAGGCCTGTAAAAGCAGCTTCGTGTGGGCTTCCTGCCCTTTAATTCTTCAGTGTTATTTTTATCTGTTTGATAAACAAGGGAAAAACTCTCCTATGAGTGTTGTGGTAATTTAAGTAAAGTTTGTGAAGTAGTCAGTTACTGTAGTAAGGAAATCATTAACTGTTTTCAGAGTCTAAAAAATGCCCTAAATGAAGACTTAAGGCCACTGAGTAAAGAGAGGTCAAAATATCAAATAACTGCTGACTAACTGAACCACATTTATCCTGTAATTAGGATATTTTTAGGACTATTTAAAAAATGTAACTTGAATTATATGCATAAGGGAACCAAATTAAAGTAATATTGTTAAACTTGAATCTTTTTTCTTCTTCTATATTTCTGTATAAATCTACAATCCTAATTCTCTTCCAGCAGAGTTTCATGGGCATGTATAATGCAGTCCAAAGGAGAGTCACTATGAATCTAATTTGATGTGTCTTGTCAAAATATGCAGCATAGCATTCCAAATGCATGTATTAACCATAGAAAAGCTTTCATTTTCCTAGAGGAAAATGCAAAGGAAACCATTTTTGCTATTTTTATTTGTATATACTCCTCAAAATAAAGAATTATTAATGCTAAACCTACAGAACTAAAAATACATTAACTATATCTTTATGTTATGGCTTTGTTTGAGAAGCAGCCAAAAATAGGTTTCTTTGGTCTTGAGCTGTCTGTGTGTTTTTCTGTGGGAAGTTACATATTCCCCAGGTGGCTCTGCTACTGTGTAAACAGATTTGTATAAATGCCGTTTATCAGATTTCTTGCCACCTTTCTGTGTACAAACTGTTATACTAGAAGGTATTTTCTCCTCAACTTATGGATGAGCGCTGGTTTACACCACAAAGGTTTTATCCTTCGTTTTGTGAATGTGGTTTTGTGCATTTTCCCATGAATATTTAGTACTGTTTTGTCAGTTACAAACACCGTGCTGTATCAATAAATCAAAACATGACAGGTGTTAAGTGTTTTTTGAATCTTACTCGATTTCTTCCCAGATAATTCACACAAAAGGGTCTTCAAGACACTTAGGTCTGTAAAGTCTGTTGATGTCTTTGGTCCAGAGAAACTGTATGGTTTTTAACATTTTCTACACCACTTAAGCCTTTCTATTTTTTGCTGTTAAGGATTTTTTTTTTCAGCTAAAAGATCCCTGTAATTTGTTGGTACTTGTAGCAATTTTATTTGCTACTATAGAAATATGTATACATCAAAATATATTGTAATTGTAATTAATGCATCAAATTTTACTTATTGTAAATTTTCCTTTCCTAAAAAGTGAGATTTTTATTAGTCCTTAAAAGTATCTTTTTTATTACCTATTTTAAAATAGGTATTTTTAATACCTACTATTCTATAATATGTGAAGACATTATACATGCAAGTAAAAGTATGCGTTGAATAGACTGTAAATTTTCACACAAATAGGGTTATGTTTGTTGCTCTCTCTCAGACTCTCAGAATTTAAAATTGCTTCTGCTATCATGTATTTTAAAATGTAACATGTAATGTTCTGTCCTGTTTTGAATTACAATCTTTCTGTCCTCTCGAGGTTGAAGTGGATCGTTTCCAAGATACAAAGAGAATTCTTCATGACTATTACAGGGCAATGGAAGGAAAAATCCCAACCCACGACTGTCAAGATTTTACTAGAATCCCATTGTTAGATATTATTGATGTAGAGCAGAAAGAAGATCAAAGCAAATCAAGAAGGTAGAAATGCAATATTAAATTATACAAATAGAATTCACTGATACCTTTGTGGGTGTATGTGGAAATACCTGTGTGGATATTTCAGTGGATGGGCAACTAAGAATTTTTAACTAAGGATTATGGTCAAACAATTAATATTGAATCTTCTTATAGGTATAATTTATCCCTGAATTTTTACTGATTTATCTAAATAATTTTCACTAATGCATCTCTGAATTCTAAACCATTTTAAAAGCTGACTTACAAAGAAATCTGCTTTAGAAATGTTTCCTGCTTCCCTCTGTGTTGCTAACAATTCCCATCATAGTCCTCATGTAACTAAGTTATGGAACATTAACAGGTTTAAAATTTACACCAAAAAAAGCAATTAAATGGGTTATGTAATGAGAAATATAAATTAAAGCAGCATACAAAGATGCACAGAACTGAATGTCGTATTAAAAGGTAAGGGGTACCATCAAATAATTTCAGACTATCAAAAATGCTGCCAGTACTGATGCCAGCTTTTTTTTTAAATACTTACAGTTCATTTAGAAAATATTTATGGAGTGAGGCTGTGCTTCTAGCCTCCGTGAATATATCAGTAGATCACACAGTCATTTGGCATAGTTTTATCCACATGTTATTATTCCTTAGCTTCTATAGTTAAACTAGATAGTTGTCTTGTCACCTACACATTTTTCCACTTTTGGTAATAAAGAATGTTCACGTCTTTTCTGCTGCTATAGTAAATTTTGTGAACAGCATTCTCATTCTCTTAGTAGAGTCTCCAATGTAGTTATAATTAACACTTTTTATATAAGGGGTATGAATTATGCCTTATATTTTCTTTTTTTAGGATTCCTCTTGTTTCTTGGAAACTGCCTTCACCAGAAATAAATATTAGCAAGTCAAAGGCCAAGGGAACTGTACAGAAGAGTGCTAAGGATGAGAATTCAGAAAAGCATTCTCATTCTCTTAGTAGAGTCTCCAATGTAGTTATAATTAACACTTTTTATATAAGGGGTATGAATTATGCCTTATATTTTCTTTTTTTAGGATTCCTCTTGTTTCTTGGAAACTGCCTTCACCAGAAATAAATATTAGCAAGTCAAAGGCCAAGGGAACTGTACAGAAGAGGGCTAAGGATGAGAATTCAGAAAAGGGAGTGGCCACTTCTGGGAATGATGAGAATCTTATTACTGATACATGGCAAACAGCAGTAACAGCAGTATCAAATATGGTAAGGAATGTTTTATTTACTTAAACATTTCTGGGTCAGACAGTGAAACCTGCCATTCATGCAGCCTAAATACACAGCTTTCATACTGTGTATCTGAATTTCACATCTCTTGCTCCAGCACTGATAATTACATTTAATATGTTTGTATATCTTTGAGAAAAATATTGGATTCTGTGTATTGTCAGCACCTCTAAATTTATAACTGCCCCTTTCATTCCATTACTGAAATACTTTGAATGTTGACTCTATGTATCTACTTTTTCCATGATAAACCCTCCCCTCATCCCCCACTACAAGCATGAGAAGAGGGACAAGCTTTATCCTGTGATGCAATGTTTGCTCAAACTCTTCACAACCTTTTATATATAGCTTAAAATAAAGCAGGTGGACTTTTCAAATGGTTAATTTCTAGGTTCACTTCTTCTTTTCTCTTTGATAATTTTAAAATAAATACATTTCTGCACCCTTTCAGTGTAACTTTAGTCTTGCTTTGCATACTGTTGATTCTTACATTTCTCACTTTTTACTAGAGTACAGGAATGTCTCTGTCTTGCATCTTTGTTGTAGAATTTTATCTGTACAAATAATTAACATGTAAAACTATTAAATTAGTTAAAATATCTCCTTTGTTTTATTTATGCGTTTCTGTCTCAGCAAATACTTTCAGGAAGTATAGGCTATTTAAAGCAGTAGTTGCACAGTGCTGATACTGTGTACTTTACTTTGTGTGACTGGTGTCAAGGTAACGGCTGAAATACGGTCTAAAGAAATGGAGGAAGAAAGAGAACATCATTACTCAGCACTGAAGGCAGATCTGAAATCTTCGCAGACACTGTCAGGCAAAGCTACTGGGAAAGATAACAAAGAGGGAAAAAAGCTTCCTGCTAAATCAGTTGCTAAAAACAAAGGTATTTGAAATGCAGACTTTGTTTTAGAAGTGTTTTAGATTACTGGAATGTAAATAAGTCAGTATTACAGAAGAGAGTAAGCCAAGACATTTAATTTGGATTTAATTTATCTTTTGAAATGTTGAATGTGACATATCAGTGTGAAAAGCTGGTTGTGATAAAGGAGTGCTGAGACTTCTGAATGGCTGTAGTATTTATTTAATCATATCTGTTGGCCTTATTATTATGTAGGAAAAAATATTCTAAAAAAGAACCTAGAAAGTAAATATTAACTTTTCTCCATGTGTTTTTTAGAATTTACTAATTAGAGCTAATTTATTAAATAAAATTCCATTCAATTTTGCCTACTGTTAAGCCGTAAGTCAAAGTATTTCAAATATTAAAGTACTGGAATAGAATGGATAAATTATCCAATACCCCATGATATTTTAGAATGAATTTATTTGCCATATATTAGCATGGGTCTATCAAGGTCCACCATTTTTATATATAAACTGTAGCATGATGTAAATATAGGACATAAAATCTAATGGCATATATAGTCCTAAAAAAGAACGTACTTCTGTTGAGGTAGATCTTGCACATAGGGCTGGCAGCAATCCATCCAACCACAAAATTTATTTGCAAAAGAGAAACAGACCTAAAACCCCCCTCTCTCTTTGCCTAGCAACTCAGGCAATCTGCTGCAAGGAATTCTGCCATGCAATGCTGTTTGTATGTTTTTTTAACAAACAGTTCCTTGAGCAGGCAGTTGTTTAAGTAAATTCCACTTCTTTCTGCAAAATGCCACAGCTCCAGAAGGAAGCAAGGCTGGTGGCCTGAACCTTGTATGTTTGTAAACACATTTTGCGGTAGCCAGAGAGGGGCTCAAGCCCTGCAAATGTGCAGGTAGCCTGAAATTAAGGTACACTTTTTTCTATTGAGAAAGCTGTAACTTTAGACTTATTATGCATAAAGCAACTGACTTTTTTCCTTTGACAGACATTTTAAATTCACTGTACTCTGTGCTCTCACTCTGGTCGATTCTTCTCATAGTACATGAATGATTAGGGCCCTGCAAATACTTAGCCACGTGGATACCTCATTTGTGAGCCCCAGGGAGCCTTAAGTGTGCCTTAGCATCTCAGTCCAGCCAAGAGAGTAGCAGATTTTTGAAAGCTTTATGAAAAAAGGTCATCAGCTATTGCCTGTTGTACACTAAATGACAAGTTTGGCGTTTGGGGATTGCTTTTTGGAACAAAATTTTTGTTCAGACCTGGTACCAGACCAGCACCAGTTATCTGATTTACCTGAAATCACAGAGCTACAAGGTGACAGAACTGCACCTAGAACATTCCTCATGGTAGAATATTAATTATCAACTGATGTATCTGTAGCTGAAGTATCACCTTTGATTTCATGACAAATATAGTGTTACTGTAGTGCTCTTGTAACAGAAGAATTCCTTAGGATACAGCTTTAGGCTAGTAACTGAGTGATACAACTTATCACATATAATTTTATCACTTCTAGGTTAGACCATGTATTTTCTGTTGACCTTATATATTAAGCAGATGTTGTTATTATTTTTTTTCTTTAATAGCTTGATCTGCTCTTCTAGGAAAAAATCAATATTTTAATGGTTTTGAGTAATATTCAAAGTGTTGTGGCAGCAGAATTTTAGGCAAACTTTAAAAATGTGATAAAATAAATTTGCAAAGTCTGTTCAGAGATATGTAAGTTAAAACAAGCTGCAAATGCAGCTAAGAGAATGATTTAGAAAGGCATGAAGTAATTTACCTTTTTTTTTTTTTTTAAATAGCATTATTAGAGATTTTAAAAAAATAGCGTTATCGTTGTTTTCACTGCTTTCTTGGTAACCAATTATAATTACTAACATAGCATTTTTATTACAATATGCTAAACTAGAATTTGCTCCAGAAGGAATAGCAATCATTCAAAAGAGGTTTATTTATGTGCTGGTTGTGATAAATTGGTAGGTTTTAGGGTCCAATTTGACATTCTAGGATCACAGCAAAGACACACCTACTCAGTCATGATTTTCCACTGAGAAGTATATTTTAAGGATGTTACTTAACCAATTTTAAAACAGCTGTATGTGCTGGAGTAATGCAAGTACTGTTAATTGTAGTGTGTCTTGCAGGTATAAATCACATTTGGAGAAATCTAAATATGTTATGTTGACATAAAACACCTGAGTAACTACTTTTGTATTCTCATAAATGGTCACATCATGTAAGAGGGAAAGTGCCAGTTTTCATTTTAAAACAATGTACTATCTTGTGAATGCCTGTGTATGGATATACAACCTTACCAGCAAAGTCCAGTGAAAGATCTATTTCCCTCCAGGGTCACCTGCCACATCTGTGGCTGAAGACAGTCCAGTTCCTATAGCCCAAGAGGAATTAAAGAAACAAGAACTGGCACTTAAAATAAAGCAAGAATATTTCAGTGCCTTGAAACATGAAGGTATGTTACTGTTTGGTTACTTATATTGGAGTGTGACCTTCATTTCAAATTTAGGCAGTGTAATAGTCAAAACTAACCAGAAACTCTAGGGAAAATGGATGGATAAGTAAGAAAAAGAAGGGGAGAGAAAGGAGTTTCTGGAGAAATCAGGAATTTCTTTAAGGTGGTTGTCATTAGTGACTCTGTCGTAAATATATTTAAAATAAAATTGTGTTTTTCATTCTTTTTGTTCTCTTCTGTTAAATTTCATTTACTTTCATTTTCCATGACAAAGAAAATATTCATCATGAGAGAACAAGTTTCACACAGGTGACTAGCCACTCTTCAATATTCAAGAGTTGACTTCAGTATTTGAAATATTTTGATCTGGGAAAGAATTTGTTGGCAATTATGTATTTCATTGATGCACTTCTCTCAGATTCCCTTTTCCTCAAGCCACACGGGATTCAGGCAGCAAGACACAGATTTTTGGTTAGTTTTCCAAACTCCTCTTGTGATAGACCCTTCTAAAAAATATGTATTGTTCAGTTGTTCTGTTCTTTGTCTGTCTTATCCAATAACTTCCAGCAAATAGGTCAAATTCAGCCAAAAGTAGATGTCTGAAAACTCAAGTTCCCAATGAAAGTAGTGTGAATTTTTTCTAAGGTTTAGACTAGAAGAAAAACTCTCTTTCTCACTAAAAGGAAGAGAAATCTTAACTGTTGGAGATTCTGTTTGGCAACAGTTGGCAAGCCTGTTGCCATATATGTTACCTGCTTGGCAGATTAAATTTTGCATAGTACTTATAATGAAAAGTTAGAGGGTAAACAGCAGTTAATGAACAAAACACAAATTCAGAAGGGCCTCACCAGACAAAATGTTTTTACACCTACTGCTTTCAATGTGCGTTAAATTCAAAAGCTGTTTAGGAATAAATATTCTAAGACTTTAGTATAATGAGGAGAGGAATGGTAGTAACTTTGAAGGTCTTAATAATGTGAAAATGAATATTAGTGATTTGACATGTTTTCTTGGAGTTGCTTAATTTTTATCTTCTATTTAACGAGAAAGCCAAGACAAGAATCTAAGGAAGGCTAAACAGCTGTTGAGCTGTGTTTCATAATTGCACAGGGACATATCTGGTATATTTGAGGATGATAGTTCCACTTGCAGGTATGGTAACTGAGTGCTTTTGGTTTTGGTTATATAGATAAATAGAGACTAGCTAAGTCACTAGTGAACAGTTGCTAAGTTTTTAATGTTGTTTTCATGTTCTATTTCTCTGTTGCATCAATGTGCCTTGCCTTTTAAGCTGCTGCTGGTGAGAAAGCAGCTTTATCAGTGGACTGTGCAGTACCTACCTCTGAAAATGCAGGGAGACAAAAATTGTCATACATTTACCTTTGTAACATACTTGATAGCAGCTACCAAAAGGAAATGTAGAGAGGTCACAAAAAAGGCAGCCTTACACTGCATTAAAGAAAGATGACTGTACTGCCAGAAAGCATCCTCTAAGGTGCTTTCATTTGCTTAGAACCTTTACTTTTATGTCTTTGCTATTGAATAAAATAAACCTTTTTGAGACGCAAATCCAATCTACGTTTAAAATTTTGAACATCAATTCTTCTGTGAATAAAACAGAAAATATGCAGAGTTTCACTCTGTTGTGACTGAGAAATAACACTAAAAGTACATACCTTATATTTTTCAGGGTCCATCTGTCTACATTGGTTGCCTAATGAAAGCACCATACCTAAGTATTTTGAAAACTTAGTATTGTATAGAATAAGGACTATAAAGTAAATAATTTAACAGTGTTTAACTTTGAAGTCACCATACTTATTACTATATAATGTTAATTGTTTAAAAGATTCTGCAGTACAGAAGGTTAAATACTGATAAAAATAAGTCAAATACTGAATTTGCCTTCAGGATTGAAAGTAATCCCTAGCTACTTGTTCTCTTCTCTTACTCTTCTTTCATAAGGCTTTGAATGTCTTTCAGTGCCTGTTCCGTGTTTCTCTTAATACATTACCTTAGATGTTTTTAATCCATTTGGCACCCTTTTTTACTTCAGAGGTTGTTGGCTTGCCTAAAAACAGGTTAACATGCTAAACCTTAGGTGCTTAAGATTGGGAATGTTCCTCAAGTTTTATAAATATTAATTATTATGACATTACTGTTTAAACAGAAGTAGCTGCAAAATCTCGACTGGAACTTATAAAAGAAAAAGCTTTAGCATTTGTTAAAGAATTTACAATGAAAACAGAAGAGGCCTATAGAGACATGGAAAAATGGCTTGGATCCAGGTTCTTGGCCGAAATGTCCAGGTGATGTATATCCAGTTTTGAACAGAAACCTTTTTTTTTTTAAAACCAGACTATGCTAGTAAAAATAGTTGTTTGTATAGAAGCAAATAATTAGAAAAAAATGTGTAGAAAATAACAATTCCATTTCATGAACTGGAATTTAATTTTATCTTAAATACCTGAACAGTAATAACTCATGTCTCAGGTGATTAAGAGGTTCTGCTGGCAGCAGTAAATATATTTATCAGTTTTGTTTTTCGAGACTACAGATTTAGCAGATTTATGAGCATCAGCAGACAAGCAGTTATTCCATTTAGGAGAAGCCTCTATATCATTTCAATGGCTTCCATCACTTTGGTTTGTGGGATTATTCTCTTCTCCATGCTTTACACATGCTGGAAAATTCCACCTGCTATTATTATCACCAGGTATAACATTTCTCAAAATTATTTCAAGGTCCATTAAAAAGAATGTTCTTCTCCACAGTGCTTCTGTTGGAATAAATAAAATGTGCTTAGAATCACTCTATGATACTTAGGCCATCTGGCATAGAATGACATACGACTGTATCATTAAAGAGTTTTATTTTCTGGAAGAAAGGGGTCACTTTGCCTTTTGGAAAATATTTCTAGCCTGTACTAACTTTTGAAGCATAACTGGGACAGTGCTAGTTGATCCATGGTCACGGCAAACCCGAGACAAGAGGTATGAATGTAGGCTGTGAAGGCTTTAGCAGGCAGTTGAAACAGGCAGTCAAAGCAGCTGAGCCTCTGCATTCCAGCCAGTTTTATTTCCTCTTCTGACAAGTGCTATGAAAGACACATTGTTTACCGAACATAATGTCCTTTGACCTGGCACCCCAGGCCAAACCTATGTCTAATTGAATGTTACAGACAACTGACATCTTTCCCTGCAGAAACTGTACTCCTTACACATGAAACAGAAGTTCATACGCCCTTCCAGAATTCTACTCTAAAAAACACTTTGTACATCTACAGTTTAGGGGCAGAGCAGAAGACAAGGCATTGAAATAGGATAAAGGGTGATTACAGATGGAACATGTATGCTCATACTTTTGTATTTTCCCAACAGGTTTCTTCTGTGGCTTAGATCTGCCTTCATATAAATTTCTTACCACAGTCAAAAGATTTCTTGCTGCCAGAGAAGGGTTGCATTTCCTCATGATTGAGTACAGAATTCACATAGATGATCTATAACTCTTCTTTCAGGAAAGCTTTCAAAGTGTGAACAGATTATACTCTGAACCTAAGTTATTAAGGTTGTGTATTAAAAGTATTAATTTTCTGCATTTTTGCTTTCACAGTGTTGAAAAGCTGGTTGAGGTTGCACGACATCATGTTGAGAGTTCTAGCAAAATAGTGTACAAAGTTACTTTAGAAGAAACAGATTTCTTCATCAGCAGTGATGAAAAAGTGATTCCTGAACCTGTTCCTTCATCACATGTTCCACAGACAGGGACGTCTGGAAGTGGTACTCTAACTATTTCACAGCTTACTACACTTCATAAGCAGTTTCTACAGGTGGCACCCAAAGGTAAGAAGTTTTTTTCCTTTACTCTCCTGAAGGATTGTTAGTTACTGTCGCAAACCGATGTTACCTACCCAAAATATAAAGTAACTGCTGAGGGCTACTTTAACAAAAAAATAACCTTTGTTGTTAATGATCGGACTAAATTAAAGAACCTGCTACATACAGAAGTCAAGTCATAGTGCAGAACAGTAAAAATGTGAGATACCAGACCACTTGAAAGCTTTTAATGTCTTTGATACAGGCCTTATATCCTAAAGATCACATACTTAATATTCCTCTAACAGATGCCTCTGTAATACGTTTTTAACAGTATTATGCTTACTTTGATTAAAGGTGGAAGTCTTGTTTATGAAGTCATAGGTCATTGAAGACTGAAGCTGTACTATTTTAAACCACCTTTTTAAAGAAATCAGTATTTTAATGAAAATATTAGGGTCTATTATAACCATTAACTGTTATGTCCCTCAAGTCAGTGTATGCCATTTGTTTTGGGTGATTTGCAAGTATTAACTCAGATATTTTTTTTTCTCCTTTGTACATACATTTCTTGTGTGCCTACCCTCTAATTATTGGAATCTTATGTTTAGGAAACTTAAAAATGCTTTCTTGCGAAACTTTGTACTGCTGTATAAGTGTTAGAAAATAATTTAGGCAAGGCAGTTTTAAACTGAGATAGAAAGTAGTTAAACCCATATTAGCAGGATTCATTACTCCCAGTGTTTACTATTATCATTATAATTTTAGTATGATTGCCACTAAGGTCGTGAAATGCTATGTGTAAACAAGTATTTACAATTTCATAGCCAATTCTTCCCATATATGAAGGCCACAAAGGCACAATGAAGCTGAATTTGATTCTTTATTCAGAAACGCTTTTCATGTGTATTTATGGAGAAATTCTATTCACCTACTCATTTTGGATAGAAGGATGTTTACAGTTCTGCTTTAGAGATGCATACTATCTCATGTATAGTGTAGGGGTATGGGGGTGTGTGTAAGCATTCCAAACTCTTTTACAGAGATTTAACAGATAATATTGTGTATATAATGCCATGTGAAACTAAAAATCTGTATGTTTGTAGTTGTTAGATAGTGCTATAGAAGTGAAACAAAGACAGCAGTTTGACCGGTCGCTCTCCTTAGAAGCTTTTCATCTGTTTTTAATTCACTTATTCATTAATATGCTTAAACAGAAAAAATCTGTCTGATACAAACTGTAATATGCTTGATGTGTTTAAGACAGAACAACTGTTTTCCTTGTACTTTTGTAATAATTAGCAAGAAGACAAAAGAAATCTTTAACTTTCTGTTGTCATTCCGATAATATTATATTCACTAAAATGACCCAAGATGACTGTCATGGCTATTCAAAAAGGCAAATATCTCGGGGTCTTATTTTAAACAATGATTTCATACCATTACCCCAGAGAACATGCAACATCATTCATTTACTGCCCGGTGACTATTAAGACATTTACCTTTTTGGTTAGCACAATTAGGATGGGAAGTACAAGCTGTGCAAGTAATTTAAAAAATACTTTCTATTCTCTTACGCACTTTAAGACCACATAAATCACAACCCAGATTTCCTAAGGCTACCACTTCCCTTCATTATGGGGACTCCACAGGAAGAGTTAAATTCTTCCTCTCTTAAAATATCAGGAAAATTTTTCGCACCCTTCTGTCTCCCCTTGTGCGATAGGATGCTCAGCAGAAAATACATGCTTCCTTGGTAGTTAGCATCTTAGTGAGCAAAAGAGGGACTAAAGCACTCAGCACACTGGCAGTGAAACCATTGGACAGCAGCTCTAAAGGAAATGCCAAAAAGTAACAAATTAATCTCTGTTTTGGAGAAACTCTTTACAGATCTAGATTTGCTGGCAGACTTCTTAGTCTTCTAATTCTTACTCACCTAAGCGGTGCTCTGAGCATTCATAACAGATAGTGAAACAAGCAAGCAAACAAGGCATAGACAATAGGGCAGGTTAAAATAGAATAAATCTACCAATCTTCTGTACTATGTAAATAGCAAAAATCCTAAAGTTGTTCTGCAAATGGAGTATTAGGCTTATTTTCTGTAGCATTATTTAAGTTACATGACTCAGATTTTAACCTAGAAATCTATGCAAAACAAAGGAGAAATTATTATGTTGGAAGAAATAAACATGGAAACAGTTAAACAGTTTTCTTACAGGATATTTGGTAAATGTCAAAGGGATATTTTTTTCAAGATGTGTTTAACGAATTGTCAAAATAAAAGCAAAAATTGTGAGTGCCAATATGATTTAAAGTTGTTTGGTATTTATGAAACAAATACTATAAAAATTGTAAACAGTTTTGTGTTTCCTAGGAATTTAAAGTATTAAAGAACTGCTGATTCATCACAGACAACCTTGTTCTGTCCTGCACACTTGGTTCTCCATGGAAGCACATTACTTACCGTTCTCAACACCAATGGACAAAAAATACAGCCTGTGCTGGATCTTCCTACCTACTGACAGAGTCTTTCATTTGATAAGGGAATACTTAAACTATTACTTTTTTATTATTCCAAGTGCCATTGCCCAAACTAAAGGTGGCTCTGCAGTATTTCTTGATTTCACTAACTCCTTTGATCAATTAGTTAACAGTGCTTAGATGTATTGCCTCAGGAACCTTCTGCTTTTTTATGGGGAGAACTGTGGCAGGTCTTAAATGGAGCTACTAACACTCTTTATTTCTTTTCTAGTCTCTTCAGATGTGTTCTGTTCTTATCAACAAAATGAAGCTAACCATCTATTAGAACTCATCCCCATTGATTGCCTTTACCACTATATTTTTCCTATAACCACATTTATTGTCAATTCAATTAGCACACATCTGGAATGTCTTAATTTTCTTCTAAAGATGCATCAGAGAGTGCAATTTTTGTAATGTTTTACATGACAAAACAGATCAAAAGAGATTCTGTCGCAGACTCTTCTTCTACATCTTATGACTGAATTACTTAACACAAGGGAATTTTCAATTTTATTCTTTTTCTTCACAGTCATGATCCTTATGAACCATTCCAGCTTGAATTATAGAACTTATTATTCATCTGAAATAAACTTCAGTCAGGTTTAAAAAAAGTCTAGATCAAATATTCAAAAAAATGTTGAAAATGCTTGTCTATAAAACTATAAAACAGCCTGCTAAGATGTGAACCAATAAAACATAGAGGAACAGCGTATGACCTAATTGTGTAGCTATTTCTTTTCAAATTGTAGACTTGTCAGTTGAGTTTTACTGTGTTGCTAAATTTGGAACAGATAAGCATATTGAAGTGTGTATTTAGTTCAGCTGAAATTTTATGTTTGTAGTAGAATATTTTGTGGTGTGGAACAGTCAGCATGATATGCTGACCCTGAATAATGTCTATACGTAGGCTTTCTATTCTCAAACACTTGCAGAAACAAGTCAAGACCTTACAATAGTAACCCTCATGTTGTAACTTTTATATGAATAGAGAATGAAGTCCTTATTAGAGCATAGAAATAAGTTCATATTATCTAACATCTCTTTTCTAAGACTTTTCCTTTTCAGTGTGCTTTTTTTTCCAAAAGTTGAAAGTAAGAAAGGTTAAGTTAGTAGACAGAGCAAGTATTTTTTACTGGACAATTGATATAAATAGAAAATGCCTAAACTTTTGGCATATAAAACTCTTAATCAGAGATCAAGAGTAGATGCAATACCTCTCCCCCTCTCCCTAGAGATAATGGAGAATCTGGTGATTCTACTGACTTAGTTTTACTTACACTTAGTGCTATATCTCATACTAATTGATATATGTTAATTTCTAAAATCCATGGCTGTTTGCCTATGGTATCTTAAAGTCTATGTATCCAGTTACATTTATGAAACATATTTAACATATTTGTATATACTTCTGTGTATTTGAAAATATATATCCAAGTATTAAGGTTTCAGTCAGGATGACAGAGTAACTCTCCTATCCACTCACTGCATCTGTGCAGCAACAGGCATACCTTACTCTGTGATTGTAAATTCAAAATCTCAGCTATTGCTAATTAGTGAGGACTGGGCATGTAACACAGATGAATCAGTAATAATTAGTGAATAAATCAATATTTAATTACTTGTAAATATTGGATTATTTACTGTGATAATAAATAGCCAGGATGAACAATTTATCATTGTGATGTACTCATCATTGTGATGAGTACCTCAATATCTTGATGGAAATAAATTATATTTTTGAGACTCCTGTCTTTTTCACCTGAGGACAGAAGAATCCCATATTACTATCTTTTAGACTACTAGAGCTTCATTTCACTTCTTCATCCCTTATAGTATTGCTACAGTGTGTAATTTGCATAGATCCATCCACATCATCATCCATACTTCTAGTCAGAAATTGCTATAGAAACATATTTCTCTAATGAAAATGGAGAGGAACAGGAATCCACTGAAATGTTTTGGTAAAATTTGGTGAAAAGGGAATAATGTTAACATAATTCTTTAGTGTACAATCTTTTCATATTTTGTCACCTGGGTAAATTTATAATCAATCTTTATTACATTTCCTCAGATTAAGGAAATATTTTCAAACAGTGTCTGTATGAAAATATTCTGGTGACTGGTGTATCACTGAGAAATAGTCTCTTTTGTGTATCTGTGCCTTATAACTGAGGCACAGTGATTGCCCTTTCTTTCTTATGTTCCTTTAGAATATCACAGTCCTGTTTCACAGGGTACACTTCTAGTGTACGTTTATGCTGTCATTCTTAATGCTCCTTTTTGAATGTTTTTTTTTTTTCTGTTTTCAGTTTAACTTGTCATAACCTTAATTTCTTTGCTAATTAACTTTTTTGCATTTGTTTATTATGTTTGTGCACTACTTATTGAAACATATATAAATGCTTGTTACCTTGTGTATCATTGAATGATACTTTTGAAAAGCTTTTAATGAAAAATAATTCTACCTTGTGTAGCTTTTCCTACATCAGTTTTCCTTTAGATTT